AGAGAGAGAGAGAGAGAAAAAAGAACGAGCATGCTCACACGTGACCGGCATTGATTTTCTCAAGCGGTTCGCGTTATGATATTAATAACGTGCGTAAGGGCGGGAAGTAAAATTAAAAAGTTGTATAGTAAAAACCACACACTCACACATGAAATATATCTGTCCGCAATCATCTTTACAACGAAAAATTACATCGTCTTCTTGATGACGACGCGTTTTTGGCGATGAGAGCATACTTCTAAACGAAATTCGTTTTTTCGCGAGCGACGCGAGACTGATATCTGTGCACCCACAACACCTTTCTATAACGATCGTCATCGACACTCTGAGGCGCCGTCGAGGCAAACCTCGCTCGTTTATTTATTTTGCGCAGGCGACTACAAAATTGTGAATGAGACTTTTGGATCGAAGCCGCCTCAGACGCGAAAGTACAGTCTCCAGTATCTTCGATCAGCAGTTATAATAGTAACTAAACTATTCTACATTTATCTATAACCTATAATAAACTGTGAAACAAGTGTACAGTGACGAGTCATTATTTTATTGCGACACCTGTCCTGTACATATCATAACTTAATACATACGGCATTAAATAATATAGGAATGTATATATAAAACGTTTTTTTCTTTTGGCATGAATATTATATATATGTACAAAAAAATTCTGTCTCACACCGACGCTTCTAAAGCGTTTATCACTGTTTCCAACTCGTCCTTACTCAATTCCAAATTTATTATCCGTCGAGATTCCACGTCCTCGACTATGAGATCCAACTGAAGGAGAGATTCTCGCAATGAAGACATCTTGCTCGATCCCATCACCAACTGTAAAAAGTAACGAATCGATTAAAGCCAAGAATGAAAACGTAAAATGATTTATAATGCAATACCTTCAATCTCCAGTCGAAATCTGTTAGAGTTGGTAGTTTCCTCTTATAATGTTCTCTCAATAAAGCATTTGTCAAATGTTCCCTGCGTACTTTTAAGCAAGTAAGAACATTATGTTGCACTTGCTCGGGCAATTCGTGGTATTCTTGCGGCATCTGAAGCAATTATTTGAAAATAAAATTTCCATATTACGCTAAAAGAAATTAAATATATCCTGTACATCTTATACACATTATCAGTTATAAGTTATCTAAATTGATTATTATGAGATCCTCACAAGTGCAATTTTTTCGAAATTCTACCTTTTCATCCACCATGTGTAGAGAGGCGGGATTCCTCAATAATGTTGATATTAGTTTATAAACCCCTTCATACTCCGCTCTGCTCCAATCCATGCTGTTGATGAATTTACGATAGGACGGTCCTGGTCGGCCGCAAATTTCGTCAACACACGCATGGAGCAACTTGATATGTAAAAGAAGTAACTTTGTAATATCGTTAATTACATGAAAACAAGTATACTTTCGTACTTCCGTTTTATTACGAGTACTTTCATTTTATTTACCTCTTTTAAGACATCGCTCTTCTCCTCATTGAAGAGGCTGATATACAATGATTGAGTGTTCTCCATAATTTATATTTATTATAATTTTTATTTTACTTAGACATTTCTCTCTCTTTCTTCCCCTTTTTGCAAATCTTTTACTATTGTCAGAGTACAGGTAAACTGTAATTTAAGTTGCTGACGTACGATGCATTTTACAAATTTCTATAATTACGTAATCTCGCACGCAAATTATTCAGCGTAACACTCTTTCCTTCAAGCCGAAAACTCGTCACATTGCACAAATGCATTTAACAACTGTAAATCGTTGTTGATTTGTCCTTCGAGCACGTACCGCATCCAACTATGATAAATGAGGTTAGGAAAACTAATACAATCGTGTCTGACTGAAAGGCAGAAAAATGCCCACGCCATCGTTGAGTTGTACTACAATTTCGAATTTTCATTCCGTAGACGGTGGCGGCTCGTGGCGGACGCTTCGGAACTAATAAACACAACCAAGTGCAGAACCTACTTATCTCAATCCATCTGGCATAAAAGTCTTGTCGACATCGCTAGATGGCGCCACGTAATCCACTGGGTGAACAAGAAAACGGTTAATGCCGGGTTAATTTCGTCCAAAAGTACAGAAATGACGGGAGAATTCGTTGATTTAGTTATTTCACATTTCTCGGTTTTCCTCTCTTCATTTTCGTCCGCACCGACGTAATGTACCAACATGCCGGTTTTTCGGTAAGAATTAGAAGTTTATTGTTTACCGCGCGAACTTCCGCCGCGCGTTGTCGCGTCCTGCGGACAGAAGCCATTACGTCAGTTTGAAAGCGCGATCCGTTGATGCAACTTCGATTCGCATCGAGTGTTAACGGTCGTCCGAATCGTGATGGTACTTGCATCGCGTATTTTCTCGTCGAATCTTCGCAAGCATGCAGCGGACACGCGATGATACACGACACGAGGTGAGAAATCTGTTTCCTGGTACCTAGATTTATTATCCCCGATTCCATCAACTTCGGTTAACCTAACCGATCAACTCAACAGAATCGGATGTTAAGCGGGGTGACCAATCACAATTGATTGGTCAATTTTTTGAGGGTTAGAGCTCTCATTATGGTTAGAACAATTATTTACTACAGCGTGCATATCTATATATGTATGCATGTACGAAGACACATATATAATATAATATATATAAAAGCGATATATGCGATGTATAAAAAACACATCCGTGACTTATGCGCGAACGTGTCGGCAAACGACACTTCTCGAGACATGCACCGGCACGCCTCGTCTCCTCCCACGATTTAAATAGCTCTTCTCGTGATTCTCCACCCGGTAGCCTCGTCGAGAAACGCGAAACACTTGTTTCAAAGTCGCTTTTCGTGCGACTCTTCGACGACGAATACTTGAGAATCTTCTCCTAGAAAAGGTTGGTTGAACCACCGTAGCAATAACGTTTTTAAAGGAAAGCATAACAGATTTAAATATCTCTGTGAAATCGCGAATTGAAAAACATAAAACGTTGGTATTATTATTATTATTACCATTATTATTAGAGTTAGAGAAGACTTGCTCGCAAAGGGGACAGAACTTCAGGATTCGTCCGGGGATGTAGTTCGCAGAGGGGTAATGAAGGTGAGAAACGGGCGGTTGTGTAATTAATATATTTCATATTCTCAGATAATATTATAGTTTTCTTCGTAATAAAGAAGCGGCGGTATTAACAATATAACGGCTGTCTCTCACGACAGTCGTATAGTCCAAGCACGCGGTACGACTCGGCGCACACAATTGACCTACCTCGCGGTATCTACTTTGCTGTGTCTGTGTGTCTATGTGCGCGCGCGTGTGTGTGTGTGTGTGTGTGTGTGTGTGTGTGTGTGTGTGTTCACTAATAACATAGAAAATACAAAGTTACAAACACGTGGCTGCAACGTTTCAGAGCCCTCCTTGTGTTGCATCATCCGCGCAAGGAGGCGCGAGAATAGCGCCTCACGGCCGGTTTTACACGCCTACCGATTAAATATTAAATTAACGAACGTGGCGTATATTATAATGCTCGATTAAACACAATAAAGATACTCTATCGTGTAACATACAAAATGTGGATACATTGATGATCTGTCCCGATTCTGCGCGATCGGCTGCCCGCGGCTTCTATTCGGACTTTGGTATCTCATCTCGTCGCACGCCGGTTCCGTAAATACGTTTCCGGTGGCCTAAGTCTAGCCAAGTGTAGCACGTTAGTCGTCTCTTCGTTCAGTCGAAAGCCCGGCAATATCGGAGGGATCTTAATGAGTTCGCCAAATCTGTAGTCCCGAAATTAAACGAGCGAGCGCAGACCTCTTCGTGCAGAACGGAGACAGGATCTCAGACTAGGCTCGCGTCCGAAGTCTTCCCAGCGTAAACTATGATAATCGAGACATCGCTTTATCGCATAAAATTACCATTAACTCGAGAGACATGGCCGCGTCCTCTCAGATCTATGTAATTTCGGCGGCTCGCCGTGGGATTTCAGTTGACGTACGTTGGTTAACGAGCACCGTCCTTGGAAGGCACGCATTTACCGCGCAATCACGCCTCTCCGGAAATTATTGCTCACAATATTCCATCGGCGTCTATGGATTTCTGCCAGCGGCTATTCATTTACACACGTCGTTTTATCCCAAATAGAGAACTCTATGGGATCCGTTATTTCTCGGCCTCAACGGCTCAAAATTCTCCAAGCAGGCTTAATTATTTTATTTCTTAACCCCTAGCGCGTTGAAACGACGTTATTCAGACAGCTCCGCGAGCCGAATGTGCGCGTTGTTAGTTACAGAAATAAGAAAATCGCAAAATTTGTAAGATCAAAACTTAAGTGTTTATCATATCGATGATAACGAAACCCTTGGAAAAATTCTGCGAAATTCTGTGCAGAGTAGATTTAAATCCAGTTGCAATGTATCTTCCGTTATTTCCCGAATGCTCTAAATAGATCAGCACGCGTCCTTAGATTTCGATTAGAATAAACGCCAACGCGAAAGGGTTCATTCACTCCCTTTCTCTCCCTCTTTCTCTCTCACTCTTCCATCGGCGAATCGCCGTTACGAGTCGACGCCGTAAGGGTCTCCTTATCGCTTAAACAACGAAATACTATTTTTACTGTATCCCCGCGCCGATCACTGCTATCGGAAGTCGACGATCGTTGTCATTATCATTTCGTATCCTCGTTCGATCGCGATTGAAAGGAAAAATAAGCGATGATATTCGCAAGCGCTCGCTGGATAGCGATGTACATTTATACATAATGACGCGGGGGGGGGGGGGGNCATACACATATAAACGAGTGTCTCTGACGAAGGCACTTGATAGAGAAAAGAAAAGTAAATGGCACCATCGGTTTCCCCGCGCACTCTGACGCGTTGCATTCCCGTCGACATTGGCACGACGGGAGCGCTTATCCTTCGCGAATCCTTCGCTCGTTCCTCCTCTGATATCTGAATTGGCGGTTCATAGCGTGGCTCGTGGCCGCACTGAGCATGTCCTTCCTCGCCGGACACTTGCCTTCCCACGGTAGGTACATGCCAAATTCGCAATTGGGTATCGTGCACTCGTTATTTTGAATGCATCTGAAAAGAAATAAAATTGAACATCGTAGATGTGTCGATCGGGATATTCCCTGTCTCCGGTGCTTCTCGCGATGGTCAGTGCATAAAGAATGATGGATAAAACGGGCTGATTTGGGTCCATCTTACCCATCGTCCTTTTTATCCTGGATGGAGTGCTCTCTTATTGATGATATTAATTGTCCATTAGCGATATCAGTTACCTGTCCGCGAAGAAGTGCTCGATCATCTTTACTTGTGTCACGGTAAACAAATGGGGTTACCGGAACAATCGTTTGCATTTGTATCTGTTGCAATTTATATGCGAACGTAAAGCACATTCGACAAGGCACGTTTAAAGATAAGTTGTATTTTAAGCGCGTCTCATGGTGATTATGGTGAAATTTTACGCGCGACGCGCCAAAGCGGCCCGCTATTTTGTCTTGCAAATTCCAACGATTAGTATGTAAGCGTCGAGGTGTCGTTTTACAGTCGTCTTATTTTAAAATTTGCAATGCACACGCGCGCTCGCTGGAATACCTTCGTGGCGGTGCATTTTAGACTTGTGCGAAATGGTGGTTGGTTCAAGTAATCGTTACGCCGCAACGACTGATTTCGTGATCGACACGCGAAATCAAGCAGGTTTGATCAATATAATTCTGCAATCGGCCTCACTATTCGCCATATAATATTGAAAACAATATCGAATTCAGCACGTATATTCAAGTTTGCCCATTGGAAATGTCGGGAACGATCGATATTTGAACGATCGAAATCCGATCGAAATCAATTCCGAATGAGTATATAATGGATACCCAACTCTACAATAGGTATCCGATCGTTTTGACGCAACGATTATCTGAACCGATTCCAGACATTGGTTTTCAGAACTTTTTCCGCCCAACCCTGATGCATATCGGGAAATTCACAGTCATATACAAATGTACTCACAATCTGTCAGCGGGTTCGAGAAGTCTCTTTCCTCTGCTGAGCGGCATACAGTTCATATTATTTTCTTGACAACTACACTGACAGGCGTCTTGCGGGAATCGCCTCCTCGGCGTGAAATGCTTCGTGCACTTGCACCTGTAAATTTCATTTTCGACATATATGATAACGTAGCGATAAAAACCGTTCGGACCGAATTTGTTCATTCGCGAATACACCGATGCAATAAACCGAAAGATACGACGATACAAGTTAAAGTGATCGGTGACGTCTTCTAGGCATTCTCATCGGCAATCGCGCTGATTAAATATATGTATTTCGCCGAACTTACGGTTTTATCGATGACGTTCTCTTCATGTTCTGCGGAGGCGAGATGGGCTGATCGCGTTGGTTTGTTCTGTGCGGCCCTTGCGGGATCTTGCCGAAGTCGTCCCTGTCCTGGCACTCGCATTCCGTGTGATTGTAGAACTTTAACTTCACTATGCTGGCATTCTGACTCACGCTCGTGGTCTGCAATCAAATCATAAATAAACCTTACCGCGGGCCGTTCGGACAATCCACCTTGTAAACGACACATTGTATCCCGAGAGGATCCGTGGTGAAGTACTCTTAAGAGACTCGTCGGATGCTAAGCATACTTCTTCCTTCTCATTCTTTCGTTATTTATTAGTTCAGATTTATTCCACGACGCGGAAATGATTGTGCGGAAGTCTCGAGACGGTAAGCAAATATCACCCAGCGGCGACGCGAAGTTAGGGTTGTGCGAGACCTGGGCTGCGTCCCGATACTCACTGACAGTACTGAAAATCTGCAACACACGCAACCTGAACTATAGATTTTCAATACTGGCAGTGAATATGTGAACGTAGCTCTATGAGCAACTTGGCAAATAATGATTATATATACTGGTATATTCATAGTTCGTACTGAAAATCTATAATATATACGCAACACCAACTAGAGATTTTCAGTTCACTGGCAATGAATATACGAACGCACAATGTCAATGCCAAATCGATGTAGGTCCTTCGAAGCTTTATTCTCTCGTGAATTTCAGATGCACCGAAAAACCCATTTACAGTAGAACCTTTATATAAAACCTCTTTTGGGGGATAGAGGAATAAGACAGGGTATATATCGAGATTCCCTTTCTGCAATAGCAAAGTTGTCAAAACTTTGTTGTAAGTATTCGTAAAGTTGTAAATATTCGCCCGTATCCGAAAGAGCATTTTGTTCGAGTCAGCTAAGTGGATTTTTCGGCGCGAATTTTCTCGCGAGAAAAAAACAGCGGGTTTGTCGTGGGAAAGTGGGCGCTTTCGCGAACTTGCGCACGTTAGTATCGATCGTAAGTCGCGAAAGCGAGCCTCCGGACACGCGGCCTCGGTCAGGCTTTCCCGTCGCCACGGCGTCACAACGTCCGTCTAAACGAGAGCAACGAGGCGGCCAGAGACTGCATGAAATTACGCGGGCTTTCGCGGAAAGAAAAAAAAAAAGGAAAAGAAAAAACCAGACGCGATCGGCTTGTAGCCGCCCCGGTTCTAATTGGGTTCAATTAACCTGACTCACTTCGCTCCGGCTTGGTCTGTGCGACAAACTAGGCGTTTACCGAGCGACACGCCGCTCAGCGCAGACGCTATCCGTATCGTCGGGCCGCATTTAGCCCGGCTTTAATCGGCTCTAATTGCCCTGAGTCACTGCTTGCACCGTACCGATTTCCGCTCGCATCTGGCCGCTCGCGTCCCGATCGGTCGTCGTCCCAGTAATTGACGCGGAATTAATGCCCGATATAAATAGACGCTCTCTCGCGACTATTCTCGCGCGGTATGACACCAAACGCTCAGCGGAACGGCCGCGTGAGAGAGACCGAGGGGGAAACGGCGCGATGACATTCTCGTCTAAGAAGCGCTCGGAACCCAAACCCCTTCTCGGGGAATTCATCTTCGTCGCTGAAATAACATCCGCGCGTTGCGCTACGTGTCCTCCCGCGCGTCGATTTGATTTCCTCCACATCGGCTCGCTCACTTGATGGACGTCTGTTACCGTCTTTTACTACTTACTACCTCTCGCCCGATTCGCGGGCGGAGGACAGTGAGGTAACTATCATTGAACTATATATATAAGAAACTCTGGAAGGAACACTGCCTTTGTTTCCCTTAGATGAATTCATGTCGAGAGAGAGAGAGAGAGAGAGAGAGAGAAAGACGGTATCTGCATTGAAAACCCCATTTAGTTGACTCGAACGAAATTTGCTTTCGATATAGGCGAACGAATGTTTTTCGGTTACAAGGACCGAAATTTGGATTCTCTGAAACGAAAATGTAAAAAAGTTTGGTTTCGACAAACCAAACTTTTGATTCGGTCCTCACATTTTGTGCCGGCACATTTGTTCGCCTCTGTCCAAATTATATTTCGTTCGAGTCAACTAAATGGGTTTTTTCAGTGCAAATAGTATCCCCGTCTTTGTCTTACTTGAAAGCTGTATAGACTATATAGTATGTTAGTAAGACAGAGAGCGAAATACTACTTGCTTACATCGCCTTTGTCTTACAGGCCGCGGCCCCCATCATGTCGATGCTCCTTCCAATACGTTATATAGTTCAATGATTGATACAACAGCGATTGACTTCCGTGTCGCTCGTTAAAATGTTGTAAGCGGAGTCGGATCGACGCGTCGCGTGTCAGGAATAAAAATTCCGCGATTAATTGAAAATTTTACAAAATCAGTGCGCGCGCGAGAAACACACAACGGACACGCGTCGACTCGTAATTACGCCGTCTTCCTCCGTGATCGCCAACGGATTCGATGCGCGGATTGCGCGTGATAGAAAGCTTCATCGCTCCTTCGCGACCCCGCGGGTTACTCCCGGAAAATTCACGGTGTGTATTATTACGCGTTTGAAAATCAACGCGCGCGTTCTCGCGACCAGGGGAGGGACTTAACGTAACACAGCACAGAACGCGGAAGCGCGCGAGCGGATTAAAAGTTCAGCTGTTACGCGATGGACGCAAGGAACGAGCATTTCTGTCACGATATCGGCCGAAAGAAAATCGGTGGAGAAAGTGCTGAATTTACCATTTCGTGTCTCACAACCGGAGGAGAAAGAATGGTTGATTTCATTAGAATTATAGTCATTTTTCCTGCGCGGAAAAAATCCTGTTGCATCGTGTATTGAATCGTGTGATCAACAGTGCCGCAATTGAAATAAATCTTCTTGATTCAGTAGCAGTGTCATTCAAACTAATACTTGAGTTATTGAAGCAATGTATGATACATTAGTTCTAATGACATTGCTATTGAGTTAAGAGGCCATTCAACAATTACGTCACATTACGAGAAGGGGGGGATCTATTGGCTTGCATGATGGTCTGTGATAGCAAAGAGGGAGAAGTACAGACCATGGAACGTCACATTAGATCCATAACTTGTAATTATGGATACGCGTGGTTATCCACTTTGCATTCGTCATACATTTGGTTATATTTGGTGAAATCTTTGACATGATTTTGTGTTAACAACAAAGTTAAGTAATTAATTATACTATAATTATAATTACTATATTATAATGTTTCAATATTTATTTTCTTAAGAAACTTCTACTAATCAAAATTATGAAATAAGATAATTAATTGGATACTATTTTAGAAAAATTATTTTCAACAAAATTAACAGCGTGTAGTCTTTTTTCATTCGATGTGTCGGCGGGGAAAGGGGGTATTTTTCCACATATTACGTTTACATTTGAAGGTAGCAAATGCTTTGAGACGAATGGGTGGGGGGTAAAAAATACTCAAATTTAACGTGAACGAAAATGTTGAACGGCTTCTTAGGAGGATTCACCTCTATTACGGTGCTGTTGATTAATTCTATTGACACAACAGCATGTTCTTTTCCATATATCTTCTTATAGCTCTAACAAAATAGTAAAAATAATAATATGCATATAAGATTATTAAGAAGAGTTCTCTTTGAAGGAACTGCGAATTTTCCAAGCCGAGTGCCGCGATTTCCACTCGAGGCTCTTGCAACGAGTGTTATTTCATTACGCTGAATCCGTGTGTCGCGCCAATAGCTGACGCAGAAGTACTCCCGTTAAATGGGTCGTAGTACTCGATCACCCGAGATCGATGACAATGAGCTAGCGGAACGACACGCTACGGTTGCGCCGGCCGACGGTGTTGGCGATCAGTCGCGGTTAAGATTTTATTTATGGGATTCCGCGGCGAGGTGCGGTAATCACGACGTTGCGCGCCGTTCAATTAATACCTTCTCGCCACAGTTCTCTCTCTCTCTCTCTCTCTCTTTCTTTCTTTCCGCTACGAAGGTACGATTGCAACAATCATGTCCCGCGGTGTCATTAAGATCACCGAAGGCAGAATTGCGACAGTCTTTTGTGTCATTGGAAACGGTGATTCGTGGTAATTTCGCCCGAGTCCGTCGGACGATCGGCCGGCAGTCATTATTATTTTCAACTTCGCGTTTTAAGAGCCGCCGTAAAAAGGATCCCTCGCGAGAATGGTGATAAAATCAAATTAATTCGATCTAAGGTCAGTGCGGGTTTTCTATTAAGAGCGGTTTAAGTACGTCGTAAAGCTCGGGTAAAGGGTTGCGAGACGACAAATTGCATGGAAGAATCGCGAGCGGGACTTCCCTTTTTCTTCCTTCTTGATAAAGCGCGAAAGGGAACTCTCGCACTGGATCTCTTTGTAATACGAGCTGCATCCGCGGGGCGTTCTCTGTCTTTCCCCGACGAGCACTGTCAAGTCGGTACCACACGAGGATTGAGATTCGCGATCGTCCCTGACGAATGGCCCGGCCGCGAGACCGTGGCCATAAATTTCATCCTCAGTGCCGTACGCGTGGGATGTCCCGCGGGAAGCAGGAATCGCCTCTTAAATTGCTTAGTATTCCCACTGCTTATTGCCTCTCAGCAGCATTGCGAGTACTCGAGATTATTTCATCGGTAATTTAGTTAGTACGGGCTTGGTTTACGATGAGTGAACTATTTCGAGATGTCTCTTTATGATCATTACTTTAGACTTGAAATCCTTCGAAAGGATCTTATTTTCGTTTTGTACTGCGAATCAGCACAAATGTTACACCTTTCTACATTTAATCCTACAAATAGTTACTCACTTCGTCGTTTTCTCCAATGTTAAGGCTTAAGGAAAGATTATTTTAGCATTATTTAATATCTGCTTATCTCGATATTCTATCTACATTTAATATCTCTTTGGTTTCACTAAGCATTGTATTAATTATATAACTTGTTCTTGCAAATAGAATATGCGTAATAAGCAGATATTAAATAATTAATATAGATAAATAAGTCAACGAATTTTTTTCTTTTTCGCAATTCACTTCTCATCGTTTTTTTTTTTATTGACGTATTGGAACTTTCGATAGGATTTGAAAAGTCAAAACTGGTGAAAAGGAAGGAATTATAAGGGCAATAAAAATAACACAGTTGCGTGCACACTGCAATAATGCTGGGCACCAATAGCGAGTTAAA